TTCATGCTTGTATCCACGAGTGTGATAATGCTACTAAGCATGAAAACAAGCTAGTTAGTTGATGAGTCTTCTGTTATGCTGTCTGAAAGTCCTTGTATGCAAGAGCAGTTGAACTCTGAATGGGCTGTTTCAGTACAGTATTTGGGATGCCCTTTTGTAAACGAGATTTGCGGCTTATCCAATCAAAAGGCATCCCGTCGTCATGGCCTTTCCGGATTCGTCGAACGGCCAGGCCACTCTGCAACACTGCCAGAGTTGTTCGTTCGAGGGGATTGAACCCGCGGACCATGGAAAGACGTGCGAGCGAGCAGATTGCGGTCCTGGCAGATTTCCGCACGCGCACCTGCGCCTGGTTCCCATACGTCCCCCCCCCTCCTTCCTCTCCTCTCCTCTCCTCTCCACCACCCCTTCCCCTCTTCCCCGCCTTCCCCGGATTGACAATGCGGAGCGGACCAAGCTTCCTCCACCGCCACCAATCCAAGGGCCTCCGCCCAGCCTCCTGGCGGGTGTTCCTGACTTTTCGCCCAGCCTGTCAGGAGATGATCAGGTCAGGCCACCACTGCACTGCAATGAAGTGATGCCCATTCAATTCACTGTTCATGGAATCTGGAGTGGAACCTGGCTCAAAGGGGGGGTGTAACACGCTCCACCACTTCTTTCGAGCCTACATGGGCCCTGTTCGGTAACCTCTCTAGTCACACTGCGGTTGGTGCAGGTGATCTTCCGCGGCCCAATTTCGAACTACCTTAAAGCCTACCGATTCGTTAAAGCTCGCGGCCCAAATTGTACAACTTTACTATAGTTGCATGTTGGGAGGTGAGGGAGCAGGATTGGCTAGTCGAGGTGTTGGGTGGGTTGAGGGCTTTGGTTTCACCCAACTTCTCGCCAATCTCAAACACATTTCGCTGACTCAGTAGACCCCAGGGGCCACTTCGCGTTTGGTTGCATGAGTCCCATATTGCACAAATAATATCCTTGCCAGTTTCCCACCCAACCCCCTCCGCAAACACTGTTTCAATTTTTGCTAGCCAATCAGCTCAGTGTTTCAAATCGACTAGCCAATCAACTTCCTTCGTACAACCCGTAACCTCAATTCGCAAAACCAGCACCTGCAAAACAACTATCAATCAACCTTACTAAGGTTGCCCAGCGCGGCCCGCAATTTGGGCCGCGAGCTTTAATAGAACACCAAACCTGACCAGTGCGAGTTGGCTACCGAACGTGCCATAAACTCACTCAGAGTGCAGGGGAAGACACTACACATGATGCCCGACCAGTGCACGCGAATTTGCCATGCAACGGATGGATACGCTGCCCCCGAACTCGAAACCCCTGCTTGCTGTACCCCATGTACAGGCACCTGGATGGCCTTCTACAGTGCACGCGGCTCGGCCTCTCCCCCACGTGCAGACCACAACAAGCAGTGCCGACCCATGTTTCCCCTTGTTTCTAGGCCAGGCGCCAACCTGACGAAACGAATGGACGAAATGACAGTGGTTTCGTAAGTGCATTTGCCCACCTGCCCCGCCACTTAGGCGAGTATCATGGTGCGTGTAACAGACATCTGGGCTGGTGCACGCTGCCACGTGTATTCCGCACTTTTGGGGTACAAGCCCATTAACAACCAGGCGTTGTTCGACAACCCCACGTCAGCTTTGCACTATGGTGGTAACCCATCCACATGTTCGACATTGTAAGCAACGAGCATGCAACGAACACCCACCACACAAATTCAACCCAGTCAATCCGAACAGGCCCCAGCAACGATCATCCTCGTCCGCCAAATGAATATTAAAACCGATTAGCAAATTCACTGAAGCATCGCCTTCACCTTATCCCCCACAGCACGCCCACCATGCCGCGACTTAATCGCCGTGAGCAGCTTCCGCTGCACATCAAGCGCGCATTATGCGCGCATCACGTCGAGCACCCCCTTCTACGTCACGTAGACTTGGCCCGCTGGGTTTACGCCCAGTATGGCATGCGGCCCGACCGCTCCACGGTCGGACGCGTTTTGAAGAATGCCGATCGTTGGGCAATCACCGACCCCGCCGCCGCCAATCAAGTGCGCCGTCGTGGTGGCGCATGGCCCGAGCTTGAGCAGGCGATGGCTCGCTGGATCGCTAATGCTGGCCCCGCAGGCGTACCACTCACTTTGCAAACGATCCGCGATCACGTGGCGATTATGGCGCGCAACATGAACATTCCGCCCGTGTTTCGATGCTCCATTGGCTGGGTGCGCCGTGCGTTGCGGCGCCAGGGAGTGCGGTGCCGTGCCGCCACCGGCGAGGCGGCGAGCGCCGACATGGCTGCTGTGCGTGAAGCGCGTGAGAAGGTGCCGGCGCTTCTTACTCACCTCGGCTACCAGCCGCGCGACACCTTCAATCTTGACGAGACAGCTCTGTGGCTCGCTGTGCTGCCCCGAAAAACATACAGCAACGCCCGCATTCCGGGTCGCAAGGTCTCAAAGGAGCGGCTGACCGTCGCGTTTCTCGTCAACGCCGACGGCAGCCATGTTTTCCGGCCGCTCGTCATCAGCAAGGCGCGCCGTCCTCATGACTTCCGGCCGGACTACGACCCCGAAGCCGTCTGCTACTGGCGGCATAACGCCAAGGGCTGGATGACCAGTGCGGTAAGTGTGCACCCGGCCGTGTAATTCTATTTGTGCATGTGTTCTTATGTTACTTTTGTTAATTTATAGTTTTCTCAACCCGACCCCCCCCCCAACAGCTGTTCACCAACTTCATATCGCAGCTCAATGCCGCGATGTATGCCGAAGGGAGGGAAATCGCGGTGCTGCTCGACAATGCCAGCTCCCATATGCTGCGGGACGAGTGCGCGTGGAGCGAAATCGTCTGCGGCATGCGGACCACCCGCCTCAGCAACGTGCGCCTCATCTTCCTGCCGCCGAACACAACCGCCTTTACGCAGCCGCTCGACCAGGGGATAATCGCGACCGCGAAGGCCCGCTATCGCCAGCACTGGCTGCGTGCCTTCACGGCGCTGTGGAACGACGACGGCGCAACAAGCGCCGTGGCCCGCTATCGCCCCAATCTGCGCGATGTGCTGGGGTGGCTCTCGGACGCCTGGATGAGTGTCGGTGCGCGCACCATCCAGAGGTGCTTTTGGCGCACGGGCTGCATGCCTCTGTCGTGGTCCCTGGAGCTCACCCATGTGTATGATGATGAGCCGACCCCACATGCGTACCCCGACATTGAGCTCGACGACGACATCGACGACGTCGGCGACCTCATTGGCGGACTCGGCCTCGGCACCGGCGCGATGACCGCCGCCGAGTACGTCGCCATCGACGAGGGCGAGCCGACGTGCGCGGAGGCGGCAGCGGGCGCGACACCGGATGATGCGGACGTGGGCCTGGTGGCGGAGCTATGGAGGGCGCCTACCAAGATGCAGGCCGTGTATGACGAATCCGACCCAATCGGCCGTGAAGCGCGGCGCACGGCACGGGCGGCCAGCGAGATGCTCATCGGCTACGCTCGCGCCGTGAGCGTGACGCCGCACGACCTTTGCCACCTGTTCGACATTCGTAATCCGATTATCAGGGAGCGCATGGAGCGGGCAAGCCCCGCGCTCAATCTCAACACGGCCCCGCCGCCGCGGCTTTCGCCGACCGTAACTCCGCCGCCTGACACCCCGCGTCCGAGGGGCCAAGTGCTGCCTGGCTGGATGACCCAGCCGTCCCGCCGTCAGCAGCTTCTGGACGCCGGGGTTGGCGCCGCGATGGGCGGGTACGTGGAGGCGGCAGAGTGGATGCATGTGTGAATTCGTTTTGTGGACTCATGAGGAGTCGAATGTTAGGATGGTGGAGTTTTTGTGGATTTGCTATGTGTTTGGATTGTGCACGTAACGGGCACAATTGCAGTAGAGGGGATGAGGGGCCATGTGGTAGTTCGTGACTGGCCCGGCTTTGTGTGTCAGCTGTTTCAATCTAAGTTGAACAAATGTTGATGTTGCTTGACGGTTCAGTTTTGCTTTTGTGTGGATTTCGGTAACGCGCACTTGTGACAACAGGTGCCACCGACACTGTTACATAACGGACAAAGCGAGTGGTAACCATATGCGCGTTAAATGCACGCGCAAAGCCTGACGAAACCCTTGACGAACCGACGAAATGACGTTTTAGCTTACAGACCCCCTTTACAAGGCAACCGGGAGGGGCTCTAACGAGCATTAGCTGTACCACGAAATTGGCGAGCCCATGCAAACTGGACAGTCAAGTGGGAGTGGATCCCATTTCAGCTTTCCAGTTCCACTCAGGCAGGCCCGCTCTGAGTGGCATGCTTGAGGGTATACGCTGCATTAGTGTCATTTCGGGATGAATTAAATTATTTTAGTATGTCGAATGAAAAACGACGAGAGATCCTGCCCACACAACGTTTTTCTTTCATCCATAATGAGGGGAAACCATTTGACGGACTGATTTCTTGTTTGTGGGTCGGGCAGCTGGCAAAATTCGGCCCGAAATTTCTTGACAGACGCGAGGTAATTCTTGCAACTATGGACGAAACATCTTTCTATGCGAGTGGAGGCCCGAGGCTACGAAACGTACCAGAGGCTTCCCCAGTTCAAGTGGGCCCAGTGTGACTGGGAGGCTACCGAACAGGGCCAAGAAGGAGACAGCAGAGAGTCTGAATTAGGTAGGGAGGGATGGACTAAGGAAAGTTAGGACGTGTTGCTATTCGAGGTGCACTGCATCGGCTCGGCTCGGAGCACGGGTTCAGAAAGGCTTCGGGCAAGACGAGGCCGTAAAAATTTTGATACCCTAGTACAACCTTGGCAAGTAACTCTATTATTCATTATCTCGAAACTTTTTTTGCCCGGGGTTGGCGTCCCGCTTGCTTGGAGACTTCCATTCGTCCCGAGCCGATGCAGTGCACCGGCAATTGCAACACGTTCTTATTTACTAGGGCATCGAGTTTCGTTAGCAGGAAATGTAATATCCACTCGGCTAGCCCCAGTTACGCACCACGCCGTTGATCATGTCTCGCGCCGCTAAAGCCATAGGGCCGTCGAGCTCGTTCCGTGACGTGACATTGCTCGAGACGCCTCTCCTTAAGGACCACCCTAACAGCGGCTCGCAGACTGCACCGCGGCGCCAGAACTCAGTGGGCCCCACCGTCCGCATTCTCCGCTTCGGGTTCGGCCAGAGCCGGGAGCAGTCATGGCTTTCACAGCTCAACCCCTTCGCGCCCCTCCGCTTTTCCGCGTCGCTCGCCGGCACGTGGCGGCTGGTGCGCGACGCTGTGCCGTGCCTGGATTGGCTGCTGTCGTACGACGTGCGGCGCGACCTGAAAGGCGACATGGTGGCGGGGCTGTCGGTGGGGTTCATGATCATCCCGCAAGGCATGGCGTACGCGCGCGTCGCGGGCCTGCCGTCCATATACGGTCTCTACACCGGCTTCGTGCCGTGCCTTGTCTATAGGTCCGTCCGTAGACCCCATACATTTCCAGACAGCAGCAGGGAATAACCTAGCAGGCCGGGCCGTGCCGTGCCTTGTCTGTTGGTCTGTGAAGGACGGGTACCCGGCCACGTGGCTCATTGCTGAACGATCTTTGTTATGCATTACGAGAGGCTGGATGAGAAGTTAAGGCGTGCGTCGTATTATGGTGCGCCGTGCCCTGTTTCCTTTTCCGCGAGCTCTGTTCATCATGACCCCCCTCTCATGCACCAACCCCACTCCCCATTCTCTCCCCGCGCCCTCTCCGCTCTCTCCCCGTTCTCTCCCCGCATGCTCCCCATGGCGCGCAGCATATTCGGCAGCTCGCGGCAGCTGGCGCTGGGTCCCACGTCGCTCGTGTCGCTGCTGGTGAACGAAGCCATCAAGTGAGTGCTCGCTGCTGCTGCGCTGCTCCTGACCGCGCGCTGCTGCTGCGCTGCTCCTGACCGCGCGCTGCCGCAGCAGTCATTCCCTTGCACCTCATCGCGCATCCCCCCCTCGTTTCTCCATGCACCTCAAGTCCTCCTCTCGACTCCTCTCCTCCACTCACCCTCACCCACTTCCAGTCCCCACCCACCCTTTCCCGCAAACCCCCTCCCCATTTCCCGCCTCCCACTCATGCTCCCCCGCCGCTGGCGCATCAGGCAGATGGCGGACCCCGACTCGCACGACCCCGCGGAGCAGCGCCTCTACCTGGGCCTCACGCTGCTCCTCTCGCTCATGCTCGGCGCGCTGCAGCTGCTGGCTGGCCTCCTCCGCCTGGGCTGGGTCGTGCGCTTCCTCTCACACGCGGTGGTCTCCGGCTTCAGCAGCGGCGCGGCCATAATGCTGGGGCTCATGCAGATGCGCTACTTCTTAGGTTACACCACGCGCCACGAGACCATGCACATGATACTCTATGACATCTTCGTCAATCTCAAGACCACGCACGTGCCGTCGCTTGTCATGGGGGTGCTGGCGCTCGCCTTCCTGCTCATCATGAAGGTGTGCTCCCGCGCTCTCTCGTGCCTGCCCGCACTGCTCGGTGGCACTGTTGTTTCACATGTTTGTTTCTTCCACCACCCAGCCGCCTGCTTCCAGTTTCTCACCCTACCTGGCTGCTGACGCTCTCGCCTCGCCGCTGTGCCACCACCGCCCTTCCTCAGCCCCTTCACGCTTGAACGCTTTCACATCCATCCCCATCTCCCGATCCCCCTTTCCCGCTCTTCCCACGTCTCCCCCTCCCACCCCGCACCTAGGCAAGCGAAACAAGCACAGCGCATCTCCCAAACTTTCGGCCCCATCCTGGCGCCCATGTCCCCCTTCCCCCCCTCCCCCGTCCCCTCTTTTTTCCCTCGCCCATCTCCCCCGCGCGCCCCCTCACCCCCCAGCACCTGGGCAAGCGTCACAAGCGCCTGCGCATCCTGCGAACCCTCGGCCCCATCCTGGCAGCAGCCATGGGCACGGCGGCCATCTACCTGCTGCGCAACCCCTGGCACACCCGCGTCAACCCCCCCTCGCTCTCCCCGTTCTCCACCCCCCCACCTCCGCTCTCCCCCCCCAGCACCTGGGCAAGCGGCACAAGCGGCTGCGCATTCTCCGCACGATGGGTCCCATCCTGGCAGCAGCCATGGGCACGGCGACCATATACCTGCTGCGCAACCCCTGGCACATCCGCGTCACGGGCCTCGTGCCCTCGGGGCTCCCCGCAGCCTTCTCCGCGTTCCCCTGGGCGCGCTGGCGCGACCTCGTGTCGCCCGCGCTGGTGATCGCGAGTGCGGCGTATCTGGAGACCATTGCGATTGCCAAGACGCTGGCTGCTAAGAATGGCTACTCCGTTGACGCCAACCAGGAGCTCGTTGGTGCGTGGGGGCTTTGGCCTGGGGGCTGGGGGTTGCGGGGAGAGAGAGGAAAAAAAGGGCGAAGGGGAGGGTGAAAGGGCTTGTTGGTGGTACGCGCATGTGGATGTGGTGGGTTGGGGGAGGGGAGGGGAGGGGTTGGGATGGGGGGATGAAGGGCAAGAGCATGGCGAGTGCGGCGTATCTGGAGACGATTGCCGTCGCCAAGATGCTCGCTGCGAGGAATGGGTACATGCACGAGGATGTGGAAGAGAGGAGAGGAATGGGTACATGCACGAGGATGTGGAAGAGAGGAGAGGAATGGGTACATGCACGAGGATGTGGAAGAGAGGAGAGGAATGGGTACATGCACGAGGATGTGGAAGAGAGGCGAGGGGAGTGTTGCTTGGGAGGGCGCCAAAGGGGAAGGGGATGTGTATGTGGAGCAGGTGGTGGGATGGCAGTGAGGGTGAAGGATGTGCATCAAGGACAAGCAGCGTTCACACCTCGTGCACTCCGCCGCTCGCTCGTTCCGTCCCATCCCTTCCACTTACCCACCCGCTCACTCCCTTCCTCCCCCATCCACGTTCCCAAGCCCTCGTCACCCCCACTGGGAGCCCTGGGCCTGGCGAATGCAGGGGGGTCGTGCTTCACGCGCTCCCAACAGGCAGCAGCTTCTCTCTCGGTTAGGGTTTCCTTCCCTTCCACTTCTCACTCGCTCCGTTCCCCCTCGCCCACACACTCCCTTCACACTCTCCCCCCACCCCAGCCCTGAGTCTGGCGAACACAGTGGGCTGATGCTTCCAGGCGTTCCCAACGGGCGGCAGCTTCTCGCTCGTTCATTCCCACTTCCCCACTCGCCCACCTTCCCCTCCTCCCCTTTTCCCCCCTGCCCTTAACCCCAGCTCTAGGCCTGGCGAACACAGTGGGGTCGTGCTTCCAGGCGTTCCCCACGGGCGGCAGCTTCTCGCGGTCGGCAGTGAGTGACGACTGTGGCGCCGCCACCGGCATGGCGGGCGTGGTGTCCGTGCTGCTCGTGCTGCTCACCCTCATGTTCCTCACGCCTCTCTTCCAGTTCCTGCCCCTGCCTGTGCTCGGAGGTATTCGTGGGGATGTGGGGATTGGGGGGTGGGGGGTTTGGGGGACTGGGGGGGTCAGGAGGGATGGGGATGGGGACGGAGGAGTGGAGGTATGGTGGTATGAGGCGTGCATGCATGCCGTGCTGCTCGTGCTGCTCGCCCTCATGTTGCTCACGCCCCTCTTCCAGTTCCTGCCCTGCCCGTGCTCGGAGGTGAGACGTGGGGAGGGGTGCAAAAGGAAAGGGAGGGTGGGGCGATAGATGTGTGCCTGTGGTGAGTCCATGCTCATGGTTCTTGTCACTACCCCACGACCCCCCCCCCCCACCCCAACTACCCCCCTCCCCCACGAACCACCCCCCACTACCCTCGTCCCCCTCCCCCACCACCACCACCACAACCACGAATCATTACAAGCCTCATATAACATTCCACGCCGCCCTTCCCCATGCCAACAGCCATCCGTATGTGGGCTGGTGGACTACGAGGAGGCAGCCTTTCTGCTGCGCGTGGACCATCACCATCATCAACATCGCAACCACCATCGCCACCGCCATCAGCATCATTACAATGCTCTACCTAACATACCTTCCCTCTTCCCCCTCCCCAACTCTCGCCAACAGCCATCCTGGTGTCATCGGTGTGTGGGCTGGTGGACTACGAGGAGGCGGCGTTTCTCCTGCGAGTGGATCCCAAGGACTTTGTCGTGTGGATGCTCGCCTTCTGCGGCACGCTCTTCTTCGGCATCCAGGTGCGCTCACCTCCTGCCTTCAGGTTCGGATCTGCTGCGTTCCTCTGTGTCAATCACACGGGCGTCTACAGTCCCTATCCCACCCATCAGACGAGAATGCAGCTGGAGGGAGTCATTTCCCTGCCTTCCATTGTCACCTAGTTGTTGTTTCATAATCCACGCATCCCCGTCCCGCCTCCCTGCGCCCTTCTTCCCCTCCCCACTCCATGGCACACAGACATGGTTGACGGTGGCGGTGGTGATATCACTCGGCTTTGAGATGAACGAGTCGGCCATCGGGCATTGTGAGGAGCGTTGCTCTTATCAACCCCCACTCTCGCCCTTCCTCCCTCCACTTTGTTTTCCCCCCAACCCCTTTGCCAAACAGACGGGGGTGATGGTGGCGGTGGTGATATCCCTCGGCTTCGTCATAAATGAGTCGGCAAACGCGCAGTGTGAGGAGCTGGGGCGGCTGCCTGGCACCACAGTGTACCGCACAGTGCAGCAGTACCCTGATGCCAAGGTCACCCCTGGGATTGCCGTCATCAAATGCCACTCCCACCTGTGAGCCACCCCTTGCCTCGCCCCTGTGAGAACACCATCGCACCCTCGCACCCTCACCCACGCCCTGCTTTCACAGGCTTACACCACCCACTCTGGTTTCCTGATTCGTTTGCAACGTAGCCTGGTGTCTCTATCCGTCCATCTGCTGGCTAACTTGCTCTGGGTGCTCTCCCTTCCACCCCTCCCCCCCATCTCCCCCAGGTACTTTGCGAATGTGAGCAACCTGCGGGACGTGCTAAGGCGCTACGAGGGGCTCACCAGCAGAACGCCCCTTCCCGCCCCCACCCCCGCCACCACCCCCACACGCTCCTCCCCCACTGCCACCGCCGTCGCCACACCTGCCGCCAGCACCCGCAACAGCACCCCCAGCCCTGCCCGATCCTCCACCAGTCCTAGCAGCCTGGCTCGGCGAGCCAGCGACGGGAGCTTAGACGGCCGCACCAGCAGCTTCAGGAGCGGTGGGAGCAGCAGGGGTGGGGGAGGGGGGAGCGGGAGCAGTGGGGGAAGCGGAGATTGTGACGTGGAGGAGGGAGCGGGGGCAGGCGAGGCACTGGTGTCACCAGTAGAATCGTCGGCAAGGGAACAGCAGGGGGGGAGAGGAGCTGCGGCAAAAGGAAGAGCATTGGGTGCGACGAACGTGCCTATAGAGTACGTGATTATAGACATGACGTCAGTACATGCAGTGGACTCAGCAGCGTGCCATGCGTTGAGAGAGATCTGCCTGGAGTACCAGGCGAGGGGGGTGCGCCTGGCCCTTGCCAACCCCAGTGATGCAGTCATGCAGAGACTCACACGGGCGGGGATCCCAGACCTGATTGGGCGGCAGTGGTTCTTTGTGCGGATCTTTGATGCCGTGCAGCTCTGCAAGGCTGACATGGCGTGTCGCCACGCTGCGGCCTCTGGTGCGCTGCCACCTGGCGGGTTCATGGTTGCTGACGTGGAGCAGCAGAGGGTGGGGCAGCAGCGGCAGCATCAGCAGCAGCAGCAGCAAGAGCAGCGGAGGGTCATGGTGCGGCCGCGTTCGTTTTCAGAGGACGTCAGGGTTGCTGCTCGGCCTGCACAGGCAGATGGGCGGGTGGACAGAGGTGTGCGCGCTGGCGGAAGGGACAGACAGGGTGACGGACAGGGCCAGGTGGCAGGGGGAGGGAGGGGGCGGACAGTGACGTGGGGCGTGCAGGGGACAAGAGCACAGGGGGCTACAGAGAGAAGCAGTGGGGATGGGGCGGGTGGGGTGGGGGTGGGTATTGGATCAGTGGTTGGGTCAGCAGCAGTGAGGGCGAGGGGGTCAGAGGGCAGTGGCAGGGAGGGGAGCATGGCAGGGTGGCCGGAGGAGGATGAGTTTCCTGGCAGCCCCGACTACGGCATTGTCATGCCTGCTGGGGGCATTGCTGCTGCCGCTGCCTCCAGTGCAGCTGCTGGGCTGGCAGAGGCAGGGGCAGGTGATGGGGAAGGGGAAGGCCCGTCAGGCGTGGGTGTGGCATCACCTGAGTTTCCCCCTCTGGATGGGTTTGACGTGCAGGCGTTTTCAGCGCCTGAGGTGATGCAGTCAGAGTATGTGCTGGCGGATGCGGAGGAGGAAGAGTCGGAGTGGGTGAGAATACGACGGGATAGGAAGAGGAGGCAGAGACGTGCAACGGCTAGGCCGGATGATGAGCGGGAGAGCACAGGGCAAGAAGAGGCTGATGAAGATGGCCGTCCTACTTGCCCTGTGTGCCATGGCTTTCTGCCTTTGGCTGATGGTCAGACGCCAGATTATGAGCCTAGTCATGTCCTTGTGGACTACTGTGTTTGCTTTAGTGACTAACCTGGCATGTACACTTCAAATTAATTTTCTAATGAACGATTTGCCTCACCCATTCTAGGGAGCGGTGGTGGCGCCGCTACCGAGATGGCGAAGGGAGCTTCGGTTAGCGAAAACGAATACGATAAATCCAGGCCGTCACTTCGCTGCAAGATCTTTTCCGACACACGCCAGATCTCCAGCGGTGGCCCCACAGTTCAGTTTTTTTAAAAGACCGCTTCCGTCAAGACAGCGACACATGTCTGTTCCAGCTGTACAGCAGTACAGCACCGAAGAAAGACCTGATTGGTGGATACTTTTTTGTCTGTCCCCTTGTAGTAAAAAACCACCAATTTGCTTTGGCAGGCAAGCCAAACCGTGTGATGTGAGACCAAAGGCGACCCGGCAGCACACCAGCACCGAATTCCTCCGAAAACGTGACGTACTGTGCCTTCCTTCCATGCAGTTTCCGCTTACAGCTTCCACAGTCCCTGCGATGTCGCTCACACACCAACTCGGCGAAAGTTGTTCGCAGAAGTCGATTGTAACTGCAATTTTCACGAAGATGTCTGACGAAACGTTTTCGCTAGTAGTTCGCCATCCTACGAAGGTGTCATATGTTCGCCAGTGCTCTTGAGAAATCTGACGCCCTCACTTCCACCATTTTCTTCTGCACCTCGCGTCACGCTTGAACGGCCCAGACCTTGCGTCACTCCAGGCAACGCCATCACCTCGCCACCGTCCCACTCCTCTGTTGTCCCCTCCTGTGTTCCTCATTTGGTCCAGCCACACCACTCTACTGCAGGTTAGGTGCAGCATCGTGGCCCTGCCACCCACACGCAGTATTCACGAGTTTAGGGCTTTGGTCGTTGGAATTCGCGTTTGAGTTTATCGTCGCTAGTGCATGGATGACGGAATCCGCTCTTTGCCTGCCTCGCATGTCCCCCCATCACCACCGTGCCGCACACTACGGCGACCCGGCTTCCTCGCATTACGCCCGTTCGTCGCAGTCGCCAGGGCAATCGCTGCCGCATTCTGATTCGTCGCCTTTGTCGCACGTCCATCGTCGTTCTCATGTCGCCTCCCCCGCCGCTTCGCCCGTCGCGCCTCTCTTGCTGGATTCGTCTCAATCCTCCCCAATGCTCGAGTCGTCTACCGCTTTTTACGATACCTTATCAGTAGCCTGGCCTCATCAAGCGCGTCCCGAATCCGAGCCGCTCCCCTCCGGCGCGCAGATGATCGGGGTCGAGGCGCCCCGACATCAGATGATCGGCAAGCGCCGAATGCGGGGGAACAGCGCGCCTCGCGTGGTGATTCTGCCGCCCATGAAGCAAATCAAGATTGAACCGGCGCGCATCGTCAGCGTCGACGTGCCTGGCGGGAAGGCTCTTGTGGGGGAGGTGATATCCGGGCCGGATGCTGCCGCCATTGACGTGTCAGTTCCTGGTTGGTCCGCCGCCGTGCCCCAGTCGCCGTTCAGCCCGTTCCCTCCGCCACCGCACGAAGCACCGCTCCCCGCGCCCACCGCATCCTCCGCCCCTGTTCCGCCGTGCGCCCCCCCTGCGCCTGTTTCCGCCGCCGCCTCCCCCCACCGCTGCCCTCCGCCAAGCTTTCAGGAGCTCGCGGCGCGCACCCCCCGTTACAAGGGCGTCCGGCAGCGCAAGTGGGGGCGGTGGGTGTCGGAGATCCGCGAACCACGGCGCCGATCACGCATCTGGCTTGGTTCATACTCGAGCGCGGAAGAGGCGGCGCGCGTGTACGACATGGCGGCGCGGATGCTGCGAGGCGACGCGGCGGGGAGTCTCAACTTCCCCGACAGCCACCAGGACGTGCCGCTGCCGCCCGCCATCGCCGAGTCGCTCGTCCGCGTGTGTCAGGAGGTTGCGGAGGACGCGGCTCGCGCGGAAGGAGGCGGAGGAATGGGAGGGAACGCAGAGCAAAGGTCCCTCCGTGCGGAAGCTCTATCGTCCGATTCGTCGCCAGAGGAGGAGTCGGACAGTAATCCGACGGCCGTGCAGGCAGCAAGCAGCTGCGGCGCGGGTAGCGTGTTTTGCGCGCGCTCCGTCCCCACCGCCGAGATCTCCAGCCACGTGTCGCCGCACTCTCTCGCCTCCGCCACCCGTCCCGCCCCCTCCGCCGTGTTTCGCGCTTCCGCTGCGAATGTGTCCCCAACAAGCTTTCCCCCGCCCAGCGCACGGCCGTTCTCCGCTCCTCGCTTTCCCCCCATGGTGGAAATCCCGCCGCAAAAGGCGCCTCCAGACGTGATCGTGCTCCCCGACTCGCCAGCAGCAGAGACGGCGGAGGTTGAGGATCGAGCTGATGGCGACGCTGCAACGCGCGGATCGCGCATGACCCCCGCGGCCTGCACCGCTCGCCCGCACAGCGTACACGTGAGCAGCAGCGGTGGCTCCACGGATGACCCCCCCGCCGCTCCTCCTGCGCCCCGCCCTTCACCTCTTCCCTCCACTTCCGCGGCCAACCCTACCGCCACTACCGTCACACCTGGCCCTCACACTGCTGCTGCTGCGCCTACACCGGGTGTGCTTGCTGCTGCAGCGAGTGTGGCCGCAGCAGTGGGTGTGCCTGCGAGCGCGTCCCCCAGTGCGCGTACCCCCACGGCCGCAGTGCACGCGCTGGCGCAGCTGCTCTCCTCCCTCGCTGCCCTCGGCTCCGCGCTCTCCCTGCCGCCGCCTGCCCTCGCGCCAAACAACAGCAGCACTGCCCATGTGCTTGGGCACGACGGTCAGGCGCCAGGCAGCAGCATCCATGCAGGAGGGGACAATTTTCAGGTGCCAGGAAGCAGCGTTCAGGGCCCCGAAAACAACAGCAGCCTTCTGGGCGCAGCAGCAGCGCGGGAGCAGCTGATGCGCATCCTGCAGTCACCCCTGTTACAGTCACACCGCACGCTTGCTGCTGGCGGGCAGGGGGGGCATGAGGGACATGCGGAGCAGCAGCGGCAACAGCAGCAACCGCCATTCCAGTTCCTGCCTCCCAGTGCTGCTGCCAGCAACATAGCTGCGAGTGACGTGGTTGTTGGGAACACGCAGGTGCCTCCGCCTGCTTCCGCACGGCCCACATCTCCCCCACCACCACTCCAGGGCTCCGTTCCTGCTGGCCTGCTCTGCACGTCCCATCCTTCTCCCCCTCCCCACAACATGCCTGCTGCTGCTTCCCTGCTGTCAGCCTCACCTCCCCCTCCCCAGCCTCCCTTGGTTGTACCCCCTGCGTCCCCCCAGCCCCCCTGCTCTCCGCCCCCTGCGCCCCCCCAGCCCCCCTGCACTGCGCCCCCGGCGTCCCCCAGCCCATACAGCAGCGCCTTCGACTTCGAGCCGCTGCTGCTGCTGGCAGGCGACGAGGGGGAGGGGGGGGAGGGGCAGAGAGGGGAGGCTGCAGCTGGGGAAGGCGTAACTGCACTGGAGTACGGGCAGGGAGAGGGGGGAGAGGAAGGGGAGGAGAGGAGTGTGCATGCGGCCATGGCTGCTGCGGCAGCGGCTGCAGTGGAGGCGAGTGAGCATCACGGGCAGGGAGGGGGCATGGACCGGGCAGTGTCAGCCACAGCAGAGCAGTTCCACATGTGGCAGCAGCAGCTGTGGGAGCTGTAGCACGCTCTGCTCTTGGCTCCCTGCTCTTGCGCTCATGGGTCGTGTGAATCTCGTGCGTCGGCTGCTGCTGAAACTGCTGGAGCTTTGGTTTTAAGGTCATGATCATCAGGCTTCAGTCTGCAGTGCATGAAGTGTTGGAGTTTCTTTTCTTTTGTCTTTCTCTTGTTTTTCGTGTGTTTTGTTTGCTGCTCGACAGGCCTCACCCGATATCATGCACCTCGGCTACAAGGCCCCTCTATTATCTTCCCGGGGGTTGGCCTTCGCTTGAAGGGCATCCCGTATAGCCACACACCACTAATGGTGGCTATGTGATGTTGGAGTTCCTTCAAGTGTTGTGGAGGCCCATGCTATCTGGTGATGCCAATTTTAGACTTTTGCTTGCATATTGTGAACCATTTAATTACATCTGCTTGTTTCTTTATTATATATTTCATGCTTTCGGCTATGGCAGTATACGAGAGCTGAACTCAGAAAGGAAAACACGAAAAGAGTCTTTTTTTAATATGATAGTTTAGCTAATCAGATTCGTTGTAGGGGCGCTGTTATATTTTATACATTTCTTCTGGCGGTCTATATAATCTATATAATCACAACCTCGTGGGGATAGCCTAGCTAGTTTGGGTCAACTCAACTCCCAGCCACACAGCACACTTCACCCGACGTGCGGGCTGAAGATGCACCCGCCAGGCCAGAAAAGCGGATCTATTCCACGGAGTCGTCACTGTTGCGGACAGATAGGGGAGCGAATCTGACGTGGCGCTGTGAGCCTTTTTGAACCACTTCTCCTCACCTTCATCTGGTTTGTTTGGCTTTCCCAGTTCAAACCATCTGACTTGTCCGCAGAGCAATTTCGACAGTGCATCAGTTTAGTGACGACCAGACGAGAACACATCGCCGCCATGGCTCTCAGGTTAGTGTTAGCCTGAATTCTCGTGCAATTTATGTTGATTCAGCGTTTTGATAGCGATGGTTTGTATTGCGCAGAGTGTTCGCGTCGCAGGCCGCCACATCCCTGAGGGTTCGTTGCCTTCCAGCGACAGACAGCCTCATTGCTCCCTTCTGGCGATCATTCGCTTCTGGTGAGTTAACATTTTCTTTATTAACAGCATAATATAATCATGAAAGTCCAGCATCTGAAACAATTAAATCTCATTCCGTGCTGCAGCTGCAGAGAACCGGAAGTATTTGAAATCACATGAATGGGTCGAAGTGAACGGCGAGGTCGGAACAGTCGGCATCTCAGATTTCGCCCAAGTGAGTAGTAATGTGGCGTTTCGCTTCCGTGTTTAAATTTGACTCCCAACGGCCCAGACTGAGACGATTTTCCGCCTGGCAGAATGAGTTGGGAGAGCTCGTGTTCGTGGACATGCCAAAGGCCGGCACGCAGGTCAGCAAGGGACAAACGTTCGGCGTGGTGGAGAGCGTGAAGGCCGCCAGTGACGTGTACTCGCCCGTCACTGGAGAGGTTGTTGAGACGAACGAGGAGCTCGGCAGCAACCCTGCCCTGGTGAGTCTCACGCATCTGTCTTCCGCAAACAAATAAAAAAGCAGATTGCGGAACAACAGGACGATTACACTGCTTTCCCAGTCTCCCGTTCTTCCCGTCCCGTGTGACATTGTGCTGACTTCCCGTCCCTTATTACGTCAGGTGAATACCTCTCCCTTTGCTGATGGGTGGATCATGAAGGTGAAGATTGCCAACCCCGCAGAGCTGAACGACTTGCTTGATGATGACGCTTACAACAAGCACTGCGAGGCTTCAGCACACTAAAGAACTGGCCTTGGCATGCTGTAATTCCATTGTTATGCCACAGTAATGTGATTTGCCATTCTTTTGGTCCCTCACACGTTATGAGGCATGACAGACACCCCGGAACAGAAAGAAGCACCCCTATTCTCACATTTTCGTCCTCAGCCAGCTTTGAGAAAGCAATGGAAAGCTGGTGATTGTATGCCGCTTCTAATGAGTTAGACAGTGTATGATGTATTTGCTATGCATTATGTACATGTTCCTTCACGGTATAAGACGATCTGGGAGAGTTCTGGTTGAGAACTGCAAAATATAGGGTTCCTTTGCTACGTATTCCAGCTTCTATGTACGCATAAAACCATTCCATGTCATAAGCTCGTTGCTTGTTTCGGATCATACAGTATACCGCAGGGAACTACCGGTCTGCGATATTATGCGGCACGTGAAATTTTAAACCAATTAGCGGATATGAGATTCGATGATTGGTTGAGACCTTTTGTTTTCTCGCCCTTTATTGGTGTTGTTGCGACAGCTCGAATGGGGTTGACTCCCTCACTTTCACTTTACACGGAATACTCAATGAGCGACGTCTGGCAGTGACGTGGCCGATGCTGGGCGGAGAACGAAGCGTGGTACTTGCCCTGGGTGTTCTGTTGCCACCTCGATCGCACGCGCGCCAGGCCTTCAACCTCCAGTCAGCTTCGTTCCCCCCAGTTTCCAGAAACCTACCTTGCCCCTCTTCCCCGCACGCGCTGATCACTGACTGTTGTCGCGAACACATGTGTCGGTGTCTAGACCCGTTGTCCAATCACAGCATGCGTCTATGCATCTGCGCTTCCCCGTTCTCCACTCCCTCTCCACGATTCACTCCCCCCACCCGTCAGGCCTCCGCCCTTTCCCCGCATTGTGTCTTCAACATCGCGGCTCGTCTCTATTCAACACCACCCACCACCAATGTCTCTCCATCCCCTTTCAAAGCACCAGCATTTTTCGAGTTCAGTATTGGGACTCCTTTCATTCATCCGCCTCCACCATCGTCTCTGCGAATCGTTGTTATCACGCTAATCTCACCGATGGCGGTCAGAGCACTGCACTCCTCCATCCACCCAACCACCTTCCCACCAGCGAGTCGACCAGCACACAATCTTCGCAGCTCGTCCCCTCCCTCTCCCGCATTCGTTCATTTAGAATCCAAGCACGCTGCCGTCGCTCCTCGCGTCCAGTCACGAGCCTCCCGTCAGCAAAGAGTCGTCCTAGCCTCGCATGGCCCGTCAGCTGCCGGCCCGTCAGCAGCGGCGCAGTCACCACCACGTCAAACAACTCCTCAGCCGTCGGCGGCAGCGGATCTGCCATCACATGTCTCGAGCCACGACAAACTCGCTCGAGCTGCGGAATGGCTGCGGAAGGCTGCGAGTGGAGCCGTCGTCGGAGCGGCGGCGGCGGCGGTGCTTCTAGTCGGGATTCCCGCCCCGTCAGTTGCGGAGAGCTTGCTAAGCGGCGAAACGACGGATGTGCTGATGAGCGACGCGGCGATGGGCGTGGAGGAGGAGAACGGCGTGCTCACTCTCATCGTGCCCCGACCGCACATCACTGGGGTACGTGCCCTTGTGTCACGGGGATTATATCACACGGTTTGAACGATATGAATGATTATGAGATGACGAGTTGGATCTCGGTGAACCGAGACCAGCCAAGTGAAATCACCATGAGCTCGCGTTGTAGGCGGACTGGCTTCATGCGCTCGTCGCGTCGCTACAACATGGTGCGCTCCACACATGCTGACGCGTTGAGCTAGGCGTTCAAACTCGCCGACGCTTCGTTCTCCGTTTCCGCGCTCTCCCCGTCGGCGATAGCACACCACGTCGACCCACACGCTTCTTCCCACGCCCCATCCCTTCTCTACCCCCCTCCCTTACCCCCCCCCCCCCCCCCCCCCCCCCCCGCGGTGGCGCAGGTGGAGGCGGCGCAGCGGACGATGGTGGAGGCGTGGGGGATCGTGCGCGAGGCGTTCGTGGATCCCACCCTCAACCACCAGGACTGGGACCGCCGCCTCGCCGCCGCCATTCGCGGCAGCGTCTCGGCGGGCAGCGCGGACGACGCGTACGCGCTCGTGCACGACATGCTGGCGACGCTGGGCGACCCGTTCACTCGCCTGGTGTCGCCGAGCGACTACGACAGCTTCCGCGTGAGCAGCGACGGCGGTCTCGAGGGAGTGGGGCTGTTGCTCGCCTCCGACACCACTGACGGCCGCCTGGTGCGCTCCTCCCCCCCCTTCCCACGCGCGCTGGCCTCCGCGCGCTGACTTCCCAACTTGCGCACACATGCGCCGTTCCTCTCGCTTGCGCGTTCTCCGCTGTTCCCTCTCCTCTTGCACACCGCTCACACCCGCCACGTGCTCGACTTCCTCTCCGCGCTTCCCCATCTCATCCCTCCACTCACCCCTTCCCTCTTTCCGTCCCCCTCCCCCTTGTTCCCCCTTCCTTGACTCCGCGCGCAGCTGGTGCTCTCGCCCATCGAGGGCGGCCCCGCGGATCGAGCTGGCATCCACACGGGCGACGAGGTCGTTGCGGTTGACCGTACGTTGCCCCTCCTGCACCACCTCCCCGCTCGTCTTCCCTCCCTGCTGCTACTCCCGCCTGCTCTTCTTTCCTTGGATTCCCCCTCATCGCTCTCCCTGTTCTCCTCCTTGTGGCTTTCAACGAACCCACACACGGCCTGCTTATCTACATCTGTCCCCTCCCCACTCTCCGGGCGGTGCAGATTCCCCGTTGAGCGGCATGAGCGGGCAGGAGGCGGCGAACCTGCTGCGAGGCAAGGCGGGCACAGCAGTCACACTCACCGTGCGCCCCGCTGTAAGGCCTCCCCCCATCCCTGTTATATTACGTCTCTGGTGATGTTTACTGCAATCTGCACGCCCACATGCCCTCACGCGCTGATCCGGCCCTTGTGCTGCAGAGAGCTGACGTGGACGGCTCTGATTTGCCGGAGGGAACAACGGACATCCTGTTGAGGCGCGAGCCAATAGCGCTGTCACCAGTGTACGCGACGGCGCTGCCCCACCACACGGAGCAGGGCGCTCCCACCTCCACCGGCTACATTCGCCTCGCCTCCTTCTCCCAGGTGCGCACCCTTAGCCTGCCCTCGCCCAATCTATCCCATCGCATCCCGTTCCATCCCATCCCAACCCATCCCATGTGATCTCACCCCACACCATGTCACATTCCCCCTGCCTCACGTCTGGCAGAACGCGGCGGAGGACATGGCGAGGGCGATAGAGCGGCTGGAGGGCGAGGGCGTGGCCAACTACATCCTGGACCTGCGCAACAACCCCGGCGGCCTCGTGCACGCCGGGCTCGACGTCGCGCGCATGTGGCTCGGCTCAGGTGCCACGCTCGTCAACACCGTCGACCGCACCGGCGCCGTGGAGGCCATTGCGCTGCGCAACTCCCGTGCGCTCACGGACCGGCCGCTGGCTGTGCTGGTGAATCACGGGAGTGCGAGCGCGAGTGAGATTGTCGCGGGCGCGCTGCATGACAACGGGCGGGCGACGCTGGTGGGGGATACGACGTACGGCAAGGGGCGCATTCAGACGGTGTTTGAGCTCACGGACGGGTCGGCGCTGTTTGTGACAGTGGCCAAGTACCTATCGCCCGCCATGCACGCCATTGACCAGGTCGGCGTTGCTCCTGACCTCGCCTGCGCTCTCCCCACTCTGCAGCCGCTCCCCACCTCCGCCTCTGCTTCCGCTTCTGCCTCTGCCTCTGCTGCTGCTGTCGTTGCTCCAGGAGTGCTCTCTGGCCCCCTGGGTGCGGGTCAGCAGGAGGCGGCGCTGCCGGGGGGAGGGGTGGGGGGAGGGCGGGCGGTGGTGGTGGAGGAGGAGGTGTATGGCGCAGAGCTGCAGCGCGACAGCTGTGTGCTTACTGCTGAGAGGCAGCTCGACCGCCATGCCTGATGGGACCCAGACATGACGGGCTGCAGGGCCTTAAGGGCGGTGGGGCTTGTATAGATGGGTGGTGCGGGGGGGGGGGGGGGGTGTGGTTAAGGAGCGGAGCTGCAGCGCGACAGCAGTGTGCTCACTGCTGAGTGACAGCTCGACCGCCACGCCTGATGGAGGGGCCCAGGCGGAGGGGCTGTGGAGCGGAGAGGCTAAGGGGAGGAGGTGAGGGGGTAGAGGAGGTGAGGCCATTAAAGGCTGGTGAGTCTTGTATAGATTGCAGGTGGCTTGGAGTGTGTCCTGGCCGCTAGAAATGGAGGGCTTTCGTTGTGCATCCGTGTAGATAATGGGCTTCACTGCGTGTTGCGTTGATTTGATTGTTGTGTGCGTTTGTGGCTTACGTATAGCGGTGTGAATAGTCGTGTGCATAGGTGCCAGGCTTGCTGTGTATAGATAGTCCATATTGCTTGCAGGAGGTGAGTTGTTTAGCCTTTGAGATCCATGGACATCTACTACCGCGTGAGTGTTATTTGTTCCTGGAATGAATACAAAAAAAAAGAATGCACGGAGATTAGAGAAATGAATATTACAAACGAAATGCAAGATTATGCTAGAGTGACAAGGAAGGAGATTGGAAAGAAAGATGGAAGTGGAAGAAGGGAAATTAGAAAGAGTTGGTTCCTCCCTCCATGGCTGCTTTGACAATGTACAAAGTTGTCAAGTATCCTGGGTGTGTCAACCATAAGAAATATTGGTGATTCGAATGTATGCTGAAAAAACAATACGCTATCATATTGGGTGTGAGGCAACTACAGCATCCCATCGGCCATTTTATCTACATTATACCCCCTGGAAGTCTCCATTCCATCTCTGGGGGATGTGTGTGAGTTATCACAAAAGCGTCTGTCAGGGACATGCTGTTTCCCGCGCAAACGGCGAGAGTACCGCGATGCGAGTATGCCGTAACTAATTGCAAAACCCGGTCACACTTCTCGCGAACCAAACCTCCTGCAAGCGAAAGGTCAATTGTTTTGGTTCACGAAACTGAGGGCATCCGCTGACGCTGCGGCGGCCTGCACCAGAGTACAGTAGAGGAAGGGGAATGGCTGCCTTCGAAAAGATGGTCCCCCACTTTCGTCGCACCTCTCACACCTCCATGTAAATCTCCCTGCACCACTCTGGATCGCTCTGGGAAACCGGTATTGCTCCACTGAACCCCTCTTACACCACCGCTTGGTGATTATCCTATTTCGAGCTGTCCTGAACGCCTTCTTCCCCACCATCATGACCGCAACTCGCGCTGACTCCTCCTATACATAAGACTCGTTCGGTTCCCTGGAATCCATGGCTGTCGCCTGAATTTCCATACTTACCAATCATTAATCAGGACTATATCTTAGTCGTGGTTCACTTCTTATTTCAATGTGTCCTCTAGCCATATTCGGAGCACCTCAGTTCGGAGTTTCATGGCCTCTGATGCCGGGACTCTTCAAGCCTCAGCTCGTTTCGTCAGCAATCCATGGCTGTCGACTTCCATTTACGATAATTGTTTCCCAAGCGCAATTATAGTCGTATCTGTTACTATCCACGGCTATGCTACTAGACATTCAGAAGAGCACTAGCAGACTCTCCTCGTTCAATCCTGAGCAGCTCGTTTTACAATGCTCCATGGTGATCGTTGACCGTAGCATTCGGCCTTTTTTGTGTGAATACCATTGAGAATCTACCGCTGACGTTAGTCGGAGACTGTTCGTAAGGCTTGGCGACGTCGTATCGCCGTTCAAGTGCACGTCGTGTTTCAGGCTGCGACGATAACGCCGTCTAAATTCAACGTCTACAGCGTTAACGATTTCTGCCTTTTCGGAGCAGAATTTATGTTTTATGAAGACGATGTTCGGGACGGTTTCCTTGGAGGAGGTGATCGAGACGGCGATTCCTGGTTATGATTATCGAGACCAGGAGTGCTGGCGATGGCAATCGGCGAATTTTGACGGTGAAATTTGATACAAGTAGTGCTGACGGAAGAAGGCGATTTTTGACGGTGAAGATCGAACGAGGAGTGCTGACGATAACAATTGAGACGGCGATTTCTGACGGTGAAGGTCAAAACGAGGTGCTGACGGCGACGATCGAGACGGCGATTTCTGACGGTGAGGATTGTGATGGGGAGTACTTTACGGCGACGCTTGGCGTCTTCTGATAGTTCTGATGGTGACAGGTGGGACCTTCGGGAGTTCTGCTGACGATCTTCTGTTGCGGACAGTCTTCTGCCGGTGACCATCTTCTGGCTGTGACAACTTCTCACGGTGACGATCTTTGCCGGTGTTTTTCTGGGAGTGGTGACGATTTTCTGACCGTGACGATTGACGCCTTCCGATGGTGTCGTCTCCCAGGAAAATTTTGGAGTTGATGATCAACACTGAGTTCTCGCGGTGATGATCTTCTGACGGAGAGGATTGGTTGGGACGGCAAGTTGCGGGGATGACCCATCAATAATCGAGATTGGGACAGCGAGATCTTACGTATCGAAAATGCGTCTTTGACGGACGGTCACGATTGAGACGGCGTTTTCTGATGAAGCTCTCCGTCGACGATCGAGGCGGTGAAGGCGAAGGCGAGGGCGAGCGTTCGAGCAGAGAAGCGGAGAAAGTTAACGGAGTTCTTACAATCGCACCGACAATGACGATCGCGACGAGGTGTTTGTACGGCGACGTTTGCATATTTTGATGGTGATGATAAGACTGGGAGTCGGCGACGATTGGCGCCCGCTGACCCCGTGACGATCTTCTAACGGCGATTGACGAGGTGGCGATTGACGAGGTGGCGATTGCCGGCGAAAGATCACGTTGCCTACTGGAACGGGGGGTTCTGACGTCAGCGTTTAAGGTGGAATCCTCTTAGTTTGACGACCCCATGTTGACGATCGACATCACAAAAAACGCAAGCTCACAATCCTTGCCTAAAGTTTCGGAAACTGATATCGAGGCACCGTCTTAGTATGGTACTGACTGACGAGACTGAAGGTTTCGAAGGTGACGATCGAGGCAGCATCTTACTTTCTAACAAGACGTCTTTCCTCCTTTTCTCTTTTCACCATCGCCCCCGTGCTGTTGCCTCTGCCTGACCTTCTGTCTTTGCATTCTGGCTTGCTCTCAATTTCTCCACGCCTCTGCAAGGCCTCACTCAACATCGTACCTTCACTCTGGGTTATTCTCTCACTCTTATATTCTGCTTGCAGGTAAGCACTCAAGGAGCACCACCAGTGGGTGGCGACTTACTGAGCGGGGCGCTCCGTGTGCGGCGGTATGCACAAGCCAGCAGCCAACCAATCGCACACCACATGCAACTGACGGTGTGTGGATGATGGAGACGAGCCGCATGGGACGCTGCTGCTTGCTGCTGTCGCCTGGGAGGATTTCTGCTGCCCTGCCATCCTTCACCCTCGACCCTCCACCCTCCAAACTCCACCCTCCACCCTCCACCCTCCAAACTCCACCCTCCACCATCCACCCTCCAAACTCCACCCTCCACCCTCCACCCTCCAAACTCCACCCAACACCCTCCACCCTCCATCCTCCACCCTCCTCCCTCCACCCTCCTCCCTCCACCCTCCACCCTCCACCCTCCACTCTCCTCCCTCCACACTCCACCATCCACCCTCCACACTCCACCCTCCACCCTCCTCCCTCCACCCTCCTCCCTCCACCCTTCACACTCCACCCTCCATCCTCCACCCTCCTCCCTCCACCCTCCTCCCTCATCCCTCCTCCCCCCACCCTCCACCGTCAACCTCCACCCTCCACCCTCCACTGTCCTCCCTCCACCCTCCTCCTTCCACCCTCCTCCCTCCCTTCTCCACCCTCCACCCTCCACCCTCCACCCTCCGCCCTCCTCCCTCCACCCTCCACTCTCCTCCCTCCACCCTCCACTCCACCCTCCTCCCTCCACCCTCCTCCCTCCACCCTCCACCCTCCACCCTCCACTCTCCTCCCTCCACACTCCACCCTCCACCCTCCACACTCCACCCTCCACCCTCCTCCCTCCACCCTCCTCCCTCCACCCTCCACCCTCCATCCTCCACCCTCCTCCCTCCAACCTCCTCCCTCATCCCTCTTCCCTCCACCCTCCTCCTTCCACCCTCCTCCCTCCCTTCTCCACCCTCCACCCTCCTCCCTCCACCCTCCACCCTCCTCCCTCCACCCTCCACCCTCCTCCCTCCACCCTCCACCCTCCACCCTCCATCCTCCACCCTCCTCCCTCCACCCTCCTCCTTCATCCCTGCTCCCTCCACCCTCAACCTCCACCCTCCACCCTCCACTGTCCTCCCTCCACCCTCCCCCCTCCACCCTCCACCCTCCAAACTCCACCCTCCACCCACCACACTCCACCCTCCACCCTCCTCCCTCCCTCCGCCCTCCTCCCTCCACCCTCCATCCTCCACCCTCCTCCCTCCGCCCTCCTCCCTCATCCCTCCTCCCTCCACTGTCCTCCCTCCAACCTCAACCTCCACCCTCCACCCTCCACTGTCCTCCCTCCACCCTCAACCTCCACCCTCCACCCTCCACCCTCCACTGTCCTCCCTCCACCCTCCTCCTTCCACCCTCCACCCTCCACTGTCCTCCCTCCACCCTCCACAATCCACCCTCCTCCCTCCATACTCCTCCCTCCACCCTCCACCCTCCAAACTCCATCCTCCACCCTCCACCCTCCAAACTTCACCCTCCACCCTCCACCCTCCACCCTCCACCCTCCTCCCTCCACCCTCCTCCCTCCGCCCTCCACCCTCCACCCTCCACTCTCCTCCCTCCACACTCCACCCTCCACCCTCCACACTCCACCCTCCACCCTCCACCCTCCAAACTCCACCCTCCACCCTCCACCCTCCAAACTCCACCCTCCACCTTCCAAACTGCACCCTCCACCCTCCACCCTCCACCCTCCATCCTCCACCCTCCTCCCTCCTCCCTCCACCCTCCACCCTCCACTCTCCTCCCTCCACACTCCACCCTCCACCCTCC